TTATCGAATCTTAAGATTTGAGTTATATCGGATACAACAAATGTACTACAAAATTTGTGTAATTTTGAACTTGTTCTGCATCTAGATTTGTTTTGGCAGCACCCAGGTGTTCATGTTCACATGTTTCTGGGAACAATTGTGTTAATTTGGATGGTGCACAGCATCTTTATAGCAACATTTTTTCTTCTGTCATCTGCCTTCAGCATTGTTAAATTTAATTTTTTCATAAATTTAGACATAATAACAAAAAATTAACCCGGATATCTTACAGTCTAAAAAACTCAACTTTAGCTTTTAATGCTCAGTTTAGTTCCCTAAGTTGCCGGCTTATTGAGCGATTGTCAATTGATAACATTCGTACTTCTATACTATATTTAGGCTTCATTCATCATTTGATTAGTCTCTTACTTTTGTTACTCACCCCTAATTTAAAAAAATAATAATTAAATAAATGAAAATAAATACATCTTAGGTAAAAGGTTGCCATATTTAGGGCCGGATTCCACTGTATAAGAAAATTGTGTTGTCCATCGTATAAGACCTATCAATGACGGGCCTGATCATCTTCGCAAAACCTTTTCTGAACGCAGCAGATTTCCACTCTTGTGTTATTTTTCAGATATATTAAAGGAGGTTAGGAAATCAATTTACTTTACTGTAAGTAAAACTGCTGACTATATTTTCCGAATATAAACCTATTCTCCATTTTGACAATGATTCTACAAAGCACCGTTCCCCGATCTATAGAATGAATTCATCTATTTCTTATTTAAATCTACATTCTCTATTCATTATTCTGTAAATTATCATGATAATTATTATCATTATTTTTTACTGTTCATTGTAAAATGCTTTAGTTCTCTAAAAACGAATAAACCGCATTTAGTTTTTTGAGTTTTCTCGCTCTATCGAGCCACCCTTTTGCAGGGTTATACCGCGGGAGACTGGCAGGAAGGACGAAGGATGGCAGAGGCAAAATCCGTGATTCTCGGCCGCCGCTCTGCGCTCCGTGGGGCATTTCGCCTGTCCACAAAGTGCTTCCTGCAGCCGGGCTAGTCTGCAGGATATCGAAGTCAGTCCCAGGACTACGCGTGGGTCGAAAAAACTGGTACACAGACGCAAGTCCCCCCACGTCCTTGCCGATCCCTGCTTCGCCCGTTGTTGCTGCTGCAACAGTTATTATGTTTGCATATCTCGGAAAACTTCATGTATTTTGCTTTAGTTGGCCTGTTAAATATTAATAAATCTCTCACTCGCTCAAAGCTGGCTTGTGCATCGAAAAACGCTTGCCAAATGCCGGAAAAAAGTTTCATGCTACAAAGGCTGCTGGTTTTTCCGAGTGTCTTCCCGGGCGTGTTTGCGTTTCTCTGGATGGATGGATGAATGGGTGCTCTGTGTGTGTGTCTACTCCGTGTCCTTATGTAAATCGGTCGTTGTTCCTTTTAACACTCGTCCCGGGCTGCCTTGTTTTTTGCGCTTCCAAGTGTTGAGTGTTTTGTTATTGAAGCATATTTTCCTCATTTGTTCTCGGGGCTGCACTCGCTCACCCCGCCAGTCGCTTTCCCGGAATTGTTGTTAGTTAAACAACGATACGACGACGACAACAACAGAGTGGAGCTCCTGAGGCGTGTGTGTGTGTGTAGAACTTTCGGTCCCCTTTCGAGCCCTTTCACGGAGAAGAGACCGAACGAAAAATAAAAGGCTTAATGTGTGTATTCGCTAAAAGCCTGTTACTGTGCCCGCTGCCAACCGTGGCCTGCCGGCCTGGCACAATCGGTAGGCGCTGTATTAAAAGTTTTACGGGCTTAAACTTTCCCCAACAAACTTGTGGCAGTCGCATAAAATGTTTCTACTACCTCTGAGCCTAAAAGTATGCATCCGCCGCGCCTCCTTTGGCCCACGAACTCGTACACGCCCCAACAAAGCCAAGTTAACACACACAATTGCGCTTTTGCATATTTGCGCGCTGCTGCAAAGCAAACAAAAATTCCACGAACCAAATCAACAGGAGCAGGCGCTGCCGGAAGAGGAAGCCAGGGCTGGGAAAGGGTTGGGAGTGCGCCGAACCAGGTCAAGAGCTGTTAACTTGAAAATTACACAATTTGTGCATTTTGTAACGGAATTAGCCCGTCCATTTGCAGAGGCATTAAAGTGTTGCCAAGCACCCTGTAACGAACACTGAGGGAAGCCGCCAAAGTGCAAACTTGACTGATCACTCTGCCCATCCAAATACATCCAAATATTTTGGGTACTTGCCACAATATTTTGTGTACTCGAAAAGTGCACCACCACCACTTTGACCACCGTCTCATAATTGCTGGCAGTAATTAAGCAAAGTGTGGAAAGGAGTGACCATCACTCGGCAAATACAAACCCCCTTCGGGGCGACGGTGACGCGGACAAAAGGGTCGAGCAGGACGAGATTTGTTTGCTCCTGCGGTTGTTGACCGAGGCAACGGAGAGCTCCGGCACAAAGGTCCCCAAAGCCTGTGACCAACGAACTGTTGGCTCGGTCTCAGCCATCGAGGAGTCACTAAAATAAAGTCCGCCACTAACTTACACTCAGCACAATGGGATTTGGGGTTGCGGTGTAAAATATTAGGAACCCTATACTTGAGAGATGTAATAAAATCTGATTTATTGATCGTGCATCCTGTCCGATTACCATTTAAGTGGGAATTGTATTATCCTAATCAGGCTCAAATGAATTGATGAAATGGAAAGTTCTTTCAACAACGATTTTTGCTCATTTTCATATCGAGAGCAAAGAGCCCCTCGTGTTTATTCCTCATACTGCTTTGAAACTATTTCGGGCACTTCTAAATGCCAAACTTGAGCCGCCCGGGGCAAAGTCGGTGGTCGGTGGTCGTTGGTCGGTGTTTGGTGGGTGTGTGCGGCAGATGAAGATTAATTTGTGTGTTCAACTCTCGGATGCCACTTCAAGACTCGCCCGGCACAAAGGCGCAGTCACGGCCATCAGCTGCTCATCTTGGATACCAGAGCTCTAAGCTGCGTTCCACAGCACAGTGGGCGTAACCTTCAATTTATTCAATTTATAGCATTCTGTTGAAAAGTTTTAAGTGTTGTGTGCTTACAGATCTAGAATGCTTCAACTAAATATTAGGAGACCCAGGAAGACAGCTCTATTTATCTTGAACTTGTACTGTCTTTGTCTAAGATACATATATTCTGCAAAAGATTTCAACATGAATTCAAAAAAATACTCAAGACTGCGTTTATGGTTTATGACGTTACAACACATACTTTGACCACTGTGCACCGTCTTATGGTTGGCCTAAGGTAACAGACACATCAGCCACATCAGCCACATGGAGGTGCCTGCCCGTGTTGGGTCTGGAGATGGAGATGGGAATGGGAATGAGGATGTGGCATGGGGATGAGTATGGAACAATGGGGAGGGCAAAGCATTTGTGAGATTCCTGCTCGGGGCCCAGACGCGCTGCCAAATGAATGATGAATGCTTATAAACGAGCCCGAGGGCGCCGTGCGACCTTTTCGCATGCACATGGCCTGCAGGTGGGCGTGGTCCAGGTGCCGAGCCATGCATATTTATTTATGAAGCTGACAAAGGCCACCGTTTAGCGGGGATCAGGGGTTAAGGCCGCCGGGCACGCTTTTGCAGCCTTGGCTTATATGTACATATACCCGCTTGCCCGATAATAATCCAATAAGTTAATTATTGTGCCATTGCAAACTATCAAAGGAGTGTACTGTTTACTGGCCCCGGGCCCTGTGCAAATAAGCACGTGTCCTCAGTGCCCACTCGTCCTCTTTTTGGGCGCACTAGATGCCAAGGAGGTGGAGTGCATTCTGCAATAACTTAACCCAAGTCTTTTTGACCCAATTGCGGCTGACACATCTTAGGAAAATTAAACCGCTTGCCTTAGGAAATCCTCATTTCGTATGCACGAGTGTGAGATGTGTGTGTGTTGAGTTCCTACACTAATTAATGCGACACCTGCCCCATGTCACGTTCTAGTTATGTAGGTTTTTGCCGTTCACAGATTTAATGAATGCAAGCGTTTTCAATTTTAATCCGCAAAAGCCGCAAAACTTTGGCTAGCCGCCATCATTAGCCGTTGTCAGGCGCCAGGCGTCAGCCTGTCATTAAAAACGGCTTAAATGACGGGCCTTGGCAGCACGTTTTTGGTGGCAAAACCGGAAATGGGATGGCAGGACCCTTGCCATTACATCGCAGCCTAGTTCTCTTACAGGTAAGGGATAGTGCTTTAAGGACTTTTACCCGGACTTTACACAGTCAATCTGGATAGCAGTGCCAAATAGAGTTCGCTGCCGAGTTCATGCTGGATATCGGAGGGAATAGAGGGAGTAACCCGCCAAAGATGACGCCGGCAAAAAGGAGGATGAAACCCTGCGGACCCTGCAGGCGGCATGAGGGGGGAACAAGCAACCGGGTTCCATTAGCGCCCGGAATCGAAGCAGAGGCAGTGAAATTTAAAAGCGCCATTTGCCTTTTGTTCTCCAACTTTCTCTTTTTTGCTCTGCATTGAAATGCACTCGCACTCCCCGTGCTCCCGCCGAGCCCTGCTTTGTGCGGCTTACTGGGGTATGCCTGCGGGCCGATGCTTTTTGAAGGAGCCGGGCTCTAATGCAATATACTATGCCATACTATACTATATAGTGCTTGTGTATACCCAACTATGGCGGTCCTGGCGTGCACTTGTGTTTGTATAACGAGGTCACTGCTTTGGGACAAAAGTTGTCAACTTGAAAATTACACATTCTGGAAATCAGCAAAAAATGTGCCTCGTACGAGGTTGGGGCGGTTGAACCGGTTGAGGCGTGGCCGGAGCCAAAGCCAACATATCTTTGGCTTTGGCCCTGCACGGCAGCCAACTGCACAACTGTTGCCTTTATTTCGGCTTATCAGCCTGTAAAATGCGCAATTCAAATGCAAATGTGCAGCGTAATTAAAAATGTGCACTCCCCCTGACTCATTCTGACAGGACGGGTAATTCAAACATATATGTAGTTGTCCGTATGCAAACACACAGACACCATACGCTGCCCGTAGTTGTACACCGAATGTGTGGAATTTAATTAGCTGAGACCTTCGGGGCCACAGTCCTGATGCCGCTGCTGGCCATAAAAATAATAATAATGCAGAAAATGAACTCGGGCCGGCAATGCGGTTAGCTCTGAAATGCGAAACTACAGCAGAAGTCCCCTCTTTGGTCGGGTTCCTTTCATCGCTCTCGGTTTCCGCAAATCGCTTTAAGCCAAACTATTCATTGCCGCCTAACTGGCAGCGATTTCCACCTGAAAGGGCCGCTCTCTAAATATTCAATTTCACACGTTCCATCAGCGTACATACCGAACAACCCACAGTGCACAGTGGTTGCCATAATATTAGCAACAAAAGGAAACTAGATTTTATTGCTGCTGAAGTACGAACAAAATGTTAAAGATACAAAGGGAATAACTTGTATTTCAGTTCAATAAATATATAGAATTGGCAAGTTTCTACAGGCTTGTTTCGATGTTAAAATAATACACACAACTTGGGGAGGGTGTTCTTTCAATTTGTTCAAATATCTCAAGATTCGAATGTATCTGGCATTAACTCAGGACATTCAACACGATCTTGATATATGTAACATAATTTAACGAAAAGAGCTTTTAAAAAAGACCTCAGGTCGATATAGCCAATTTCAAATGCAGGAGGATCTATATTTAACAATTGGCTTACATTATGAATGTAGATTAAATTAAGGTCAATGCAATAATTTTGTGTTCTTTTAAAAGAAATGAATATTTTGAAATTATTTTACAAATACAATTTGAAAAATTAGTTATCAATCAATAATATAATAAAAGGAGCTCATAGCAGAATCGGTCCTTTTATTTTTGAGCTCATCTGTAACATAGAACCCTACAGCAGCTGTCAGAGGAGCCTGGCCGCAAAAATCGGCTTGTCGCAGCCGGCAAATAAAGTCGCACATATTTTCAAATAAAGCTGCTGTTATCACAAATTGACAGCAAAGTATTGTGCGGCCAACTACTTTGGCCCAGCATGGGTTGTGGGCTGTGGCTGTGGGCGTTGGTTAGGGCTTGTTCCCAAAATGGCCAAATGGCCAAATGGCTTTGTGCGGTCAGGCAAGGGGAATAGGGCGCAGGGTGCAGAGTGCCGAGCGGAAGGGAATAGGAACGGAAGGGGACGCGACTTCCGCCTCCGGTTACACATGCACAGCTGGAAAGTAGCCTGCGGTCGGCTGTCACTGCGATGATTGCACACACAGAGAGTCACAGGGGCACAATCACCCCTGGAAAACCTAATAAAGCCACAATATGAACGGACGGATTCGGCCATCGCGATGCGCTTTATTTAACAATATTAAACAGGCAATCTGCCGCTGGCAATTTCCGTACTCATATTGCTTTGTGCGGCCTGTCACTTCAGTTCACATCAGTTAAGGGATTATCCAATCCATTTTGAAAGCAGTTCCTAAAATCTATTTACTCCAAATTCCAAAACGCACAACTCTGGGCGTCATCAGTTCTTGAGTCTCCACATCTAGGGTCACCTCACTTCTTCGTAATCAACCGAGTTAGCCAATCATGGACGGAGGAGGCGATAGACAGCGGTCGGTCCATTTCCTGCACAGCCAGGAGAACCGCCGGCGCATTCGTAACTATCATCACCTTGTTCACAGCCGCGTCGTAGGAATAGCAAGGGCCGCTGATACTGTTCGACGTCCTGTTCCAGATGAGGACGATGTCCGTGAAACGCCTAGACTTGACTTGAACCTGGCCGAGCGGGCCGTAGACTCTGGCTTCGAGTCAGGCAGCGATGGCAACTGAATAAATTCTCACCAATGTTGGTAGTGTTTCAACTTATATATTCATATACATTATTATTATGAACATTACTCTAAAAACCGCATTTGTTTTTTTGTTTTTATTTTGGGAATGAAAGGGTATGTTTAGTCCAAGGAACAAGTGTAACTTTGGGTGGATGTTTCACAGGAGACCGAATGAGTTGATAGCTTCAGGCAAAGATGTAGCTGTTCAAGGAGCACAGGTTCAGGAGAGTGTTTTTGAATTTTCTACCTTACCAGATGGCAGCGAACAATCTTGGAGGTAAGCACATTCATAGATTTTGTAGTCGAGTGACCAAGAAAGACCTATTGCTTGTGCTGTCCACACAGGATATTCCTCGAATGTTTACGATAGAAAGTCCCTTTGTAAGTCCCTTCGTGGAAATCGAAGCTGTGGTGTTGGTAAATGCCTTCTTTCGTAACGTTAGAAAAAGTGTGAAGTTATTTCAATTCTGTTCAGGGATAAACCTCGAAATAATGTTCTTACTATCCATAGAATATTAAATGAGTAGGAAATCAAATCATTGTGTGTAAATTTAAACAAACAAACGTGAACATGTCTAATTAAATTATGCTTAAACTAATATAAATATTTATATAAGAAAATATTGTATTCCAATTGCTATACTTCAGGACTTTGTTTTAAATGTAAAGTGGTGATGCTCATTTGAAATGTATTAGACACAAAATCAAAGAGATATTTTATAAGTTCTAAATTGGGGTAACAAAGTTATATGGCAATGAAATTCCCAAAATTCTCTCTCGTGGTAAAGGGTTCGATTTTCCATATCTTTGTTTAGGGGCCAAAGCCATTCCAAGCTGCTCAGATTTGCTCGATTGAGAGGCTTAATTAGAATGGGCCATGAGAATTTGATAAGCAAACTTACCTCTGTTTAATAGCCGAATGCCCACAGAATCAGTTTAAAATACAGACACATGTTAGCATATTCGTAATGCTTTAGTTGTGTTTCGGTTTATTCATGTCAATTTGATTTCAAACACAATTTCCATTTAAACACACAGCGATGCTAGTGGCTCTGCGTGTGGGTGTGTGGATTAGTTGAGAGTTGTAGTTACATTTATTTTACACATACAATATATACGCATATTATAGTTTTGTATACATTTTTAATACGCCTGGACCAAGATGAATTTGTTCTATTTCTTTCAAGGTTTTTTAATGTTTTTTGTATTTGTTGCTCTTCTGTTTGCTCTTGTGGAACATCAATAATAAATATTTATACTTTATGCTGTGTGTTCTTCCGGTATATATGTATACATATATGTATGTGTGTATCTGTACGTATATTATGCGTTTTGATTTCAAAGTTCCATATGTCTATATAGTTCCATTTGACCCCGTCTACATCTTACGGAAACTGGTTCGAATCTCTCTTCGATGATTTCCCTTACAATCAAAATTGTTTTCTACTTTTCAAGTATATATGTATGTATTTCGCTTAACTTAACCCTTTCCGAATGAACCAATGTTTATCACGCCTAAACTAGCTTTGAAATAAATGCTGTCCTTGCCACTAGAAACCAAGGGAATAATAATACACTTTCGGGGAATTGCTGTAAATTTGAAATTCACTGAATCTATGTATATATGACAGTTTCTAAGTATATATATATTTATTTTTAGGGTTTATAATTAGGGTTTACGCTTAAAATGTTATTACTACTCGATATGGTGTCTTCCTTTGCCACGTTCAGCTTTGTTAAAACAACTTCCATATACATATACATCGCATAATGTCTGGTATTCGTTTCCGTAGATTACGTATTTTTAAATGCCTAAAAGAAGCGCGAAACAATGAGGGTATTTGCATGCAAATCAGGAATAAGTTGTTTGCTTTTAATATACAAATTAAAATATTACACACGTTTGTTCATTATTTGTCATTGTTCAGTTTTTCAGTTTGTTTTTTTCTTCGCTATAGATTTAGTCGCCTTTGTTTGTATAAGTTTTTCCGCTTCGTTTTTCCCCCTTTGCTGGATATATTGAAAGCCTGTGCACGCCTTTGTCTCAGTCGGGAAATAATTCGTGAATGCTTCCTGAACTGAATTCAATACACACAAATGTAGGTATAGACATCGGTAGATATATGTATGTATATATATATATATATATGTTTCTGGTGTGGTACATCTATAAATTCTTTAAAATTTCTACTGCTGTATACATTCAATTCAATTGTTTCTTGTCGGGACTCGATCAACTATATTGGGGAGAGAGATGACATTGCGTTCTTATAAAATGCATTAAAACCTAGACTGCGCCCCATCCTGCGTTCTGCTCCCCACTCTGGTCTGATTTGATCTGATATATAAGTATATATTTATAGTCCAATACGAGTATAGTATATGCTTGCTGATAGGTATTCGGTTTAGAGAGTGCTCGCGGCACTCGTGATAGGGAGGGCTTTACACTGAAATCCATACGATTATGCTGAGTTAGTTGAGACCTTGACATGCAATATGTGGGAGTGAGTGACTGTGCGAGTGAACTGTGAGCTCTTCAGCCCCGTATCCTGCGGCCTGCTGTAGTTGTGGTTTCCGTTTCGGGCTTAAATCACGATTCGATCCATTTAAAAATTCCAACACCTGCCGCCCAAGCACCCGCAGGGTCCTGGTTATGGTTCTGGGTCCTCGGTCCTCGGTCCTCGGTCCTGGGCAACTTACAGCACCAACCCGTAACCTCAGTAGCCAGTCGCGTCGAACAGATCCGGCAGCACCAGCGGCGGGCAATTGTGCGGACTGCAGGTGACGCTCGGCATCTCGTCAGGTGTCACGGCATCCGTGCAAATGCACTGCAGACAGTTGCCCGTATCCTGTGGCAGAATGTCGCCAATTTTATACAGTTTGCCTGCAACGACAGCAACGGAACCGAGTTCGATTTGCAGTTTAAATGGGATTAGGATGTGAGCAATTGTGACGAGCAGCAATAAAACAGCGGAGAAGTGGAGGTATTGTGAAAGTAGAAGCTCCTGGATTTCATTACACAGAGAAAACTATAGAAACTAGCTGTTACAAAGTGACTTCTTCGTAAAAATATAAAAGAAAACGTGCCAGTCCTCTACAAGCATTGTTAATCCAGGTTGCTATAGAAACTACAACACTACGACTTGAAAACTTTTTAAAATATGTTTTATCAAAAGTTTGTAGTTTCAATTACAAATCATGAAAAAATCTCCACGCTTTAACTTTTAAATAATAAATTATAAATAATATTATAGTTCATTTTGCAATTCTCTGTGCAGCAATAATCTATCTCGACCCTCGGTGACTTGCTTGCTTACCCAAAACATTGCACATACGCCCTGGTGCCGGCGGCGTTGTTGTTATAATCGTTGTCAGGGTGAACGGCGGAGGAGCAGTGCTCTGCCGGGGCTGGGGCTGATCCTGATTGCTGACACTGCCGCCCCTGCTTCTGCTCCTGGCTGCTTCTGGGTCCATTGTTTTCCCTGCTGTTCCATTGCTGCTGCTGCTGATGCTGCTGCTGCTGATGCTGGTGGTGATGCTGCTGCCATTGTCGTTAACGCCTGACGTTCTGTTGCCATTTGCAATTAAATCCGTTTGGCGATGGGGATGCACATCAACTGCAGTTAGTGTAATGTCAATATTGACAACGCTCCCATTGAATTCGCTGCTGTAATCGTTGTACGAGCTGCGAAAGAAGACGGCATCGCTGCCATTGTCTTTGGCCAGGACGGCCCTCTCCTCGCTCCTGTTGGTCGTGCCAACATCATCGATTATTGTCGACGCTGGCGTTTCCTGTTCCGAGTTGTCGTCTAGCGAGTTTGTGTTGTCAGCATTGAGCTCCGTGGACGTCAGCCATCGGTGGAAGGCGTCGTCGACCTCCTCCGCGTCATATCCACGGCGATCAGGTTGCAGCTGGCCGGGCATCAGCGGAAAATAAAATACAGACTGTTAATTCAGCTTGACTGCATAGTAAAAAAAATAAATAATAAACCATTTCGAGCATGAAGAACCCCATTATGGGAAGCGTTTCAGGCTCACTGGACACACCAGCAGCAGCGCAAAGTTCAAGCCTGTCGCTGTGGCGGCCAATGAAGTGGCCCAAAGCCTAATTGGGCGAGCTTCCAGGCTCACAATAAGCGCAAAAAAGTACAAGGAAGAAGAGTACAATGGGCTAGTTTCTGGAATTGGGTCTAGAAATACTCTTTTCTGGAATTGGGTCTAGAAATACTCTTTCCCATAAAGTAATTTTGCAGAAATAAAATATACTCAATATCGTAGATATGTAAAATGCTCTTCCTTTTCTTTCTGAATTACTTTTGATTAACTATAACTTATAGAATTTCCCAGCCTACTATCTCTTGAATTGAATTGAAATCTAATAACTCTGGTGGTATGGCATTGTTTACTTATCATTTACTAAAACATACAGTCAACTTCTGGCTGTGGTGCCTGCTGCAAGGACACAAGCCCCGAAGCCATATCTCAAGCAGATCAACTCACATTTGTGGCTGCCACTGTGGCACTAGACATCGTGCTTGTCACCATTTCATTTGTTCTTGTCGCTGCCTTCGTTGTCGCTGTCGTTGCTGATGTTGCTGCTGCTGCTGTCGTTGTCGTTGTCGCAAACGTGGCTGATGCTGCTCCGGCTGCTGCTGGTCCGCTTGCTGCTCCTGCCCGGGTTGTCATCAACGCCTGCGCTGGCCATTGTGTGGGAGCTGCCTTTGGCCGCTTTGTTGGCGGCTCCGGCAGAATATCGCTGTCTGTTTCCGCCTCATCAGGGTTTTTATCGCTGCCAAAGTTGGTGCGGAGCTCAACGCCTGCCTCTGCTCCGAGTGCGGGTCCTGGACCGACTTCAGCCACCAGTGGCGCCTTTTGTCGTGCCAACGCCTCTTGTTGCTGCTGCAAGAGGCGCTGCTTCTCGTGGAGCAAGTGCTGCTGGTGGTGTTGGTGCTGGTGATGCTCATGCTCCTCGGTCTTGTAGTCGTAGTAGAGCAGAGATGGCAAGTTTTCGGGGAAATTCAGGATTTTGCTGGACGAATGCTGGGCCTGGTGGGGATGGTGTTGCTGCTGCTGCTGCTGCTGCTGATGCTCATGCTGGTGCTGATGCGGGGGCGGAGACGGAGCTGGTGGCTGATAATGCGTTGCCTTTGCCGCCTGATTAACAGCCAAGTCGGACGCACTCCGATGCTCCTGCTTCTGCTCCTGCTCCTGATCCTGCTCCTGCTCCGGCAACTTGTGCTGTAGCTCGTGTTTGTGTTGCTTGATTATATTGTAGTTGCCACCGCCGTCACTCTGGTGCTTCTGCTTCTGCTGGAGCTGTTGCTTTACGGCGGACTTTTTATAATCCGGCTGCTTCTGCCTGTGGCTGTGGTAAACTTCGTAGTCATTAAAATTCTTTTGATTCTTGCGATGCTTATGCCGCTTGCCAACTTTCCTAGCCGCTTTATGCACTTTTGTTGACTTTCCCGTTGTGCTCTGGTAGCGATATGGATCTGAATAGTCACCCTCAGCCTCAGCCTCACCCTCGCCATCCCCATCACCGTCTACATTACCATCGCCATTGCCACCAACGACGCCGTCCTGGCCAACACCACTTCCTGACGCCACTGCCTTCGCCTTGTTTGCACTGGCCTTATCTGCGGGGAAAAAGGCAAAAGTTTCTTGTTATATTATGCATGCCGCAGAACGGCCCGAGAACCGAGTGAGAACTAACCGCATTTCTCCCACCAGCAGAAGATCTCGCCGTCCATGCAGAGGCACACCTCACAGGCATCCAGGCGGGGCACCTGTTCCCGGACGGAAGATAAGGCATATAAGCGTATAATTTGAATGTTTCTCTCGGTGGGAAGGCCGTTAGCAGATGCTTTGCGGTCCAAAAACACCCACATTTACATATATGTGCCCGCAACCGAACAATCAATCACAATGCACAGCGATTTGAGGGCTTTGTGCTGCCATGAATGAGTAAGCGAAGGCCACATGTCGACCCAAGGAACAGGAAACAGAAGCTGATGGCAGCCACCGACAGTTGCAGGATGCCGAGAGCAACACACTAACTCTGCTCCTGTATCTTGGCCCATAACGAGGGACTAATTGAAATCAGGCAAGTGCCCTTGTTCGATTGCAACGAGTTTAGGATTTCAAGCTGTGATCTGTTTCTAACAAGAAGAGTTCGTCGGAATTTAGGTTTCTGTTTGCATACACATTAAGCATTAATTGGGAGTAATTTCATTGAAACGTAAGTTATCTTAGTAAACTTATCAAAACAATTTAAAATGCCTTCGACTCTAAGCCATAGTCTGGCGATTGTGTACTTTAATACCTTATTCATTAAGAAACAAATACCTGTTACATAGAACTTGGTCAAGTAAATAAAGATGAAACGCATCATAGCAATCAGGAATTTTAAAATTAATCAAGAATTAAAGAATGAAGAAATTGAGAACAGTTTTACTTCACTTTTAGAATGGAATAAAAACTTACAAAATGTCAACAATCAATTAAAAACATTATACCTTCAAGACCCTTGAATATCCGATTCATATTTTTAAAAATTATCAAACAATAAGTTAACACAAAACAATAGTGATTAATTATTTATATATGTATTAAAGAATATTGTCCTTTTACACAGGAATATGTTGAAGGCTATATGCTTTTGCACCAATATAAATTGTTTATATAGGTAATTAGGTCTTATAAACTTTGCAATTAATTAGCGTTACTTTAAAATTGTTGAAATAAATAATAATTAATAAAAATAGTAATTTTTAAACGCAAAATGTGCGAACTCAGTCAGTTGGTGATATTTATTGTATAAAATATATAAACATAATAATGGTCGAATCAATTCTTAGTTGTATTATGTTTTAGACTCAATAAATGTTTTGAAATGAAATATAGTACATACGGTCATGTATTCTACAAAGCGTTTTTGGTTTAAAAATGAGAAATCTAATACATATTTTATTTTTATTTTAAAAATAATAATATGAACTTAAGTAGATTCTAAACGTAGCAAAAAGTTTAAAAAAATAATGAAAATTGACCTGTAAAACAATTTAAAACGTAGTCATTACTTTTCCCTGTTTTTTTTTTCTATTCAAAACTCTGCTTTTTCCCGTGACTTGTTTTATCTCTGGAATTGCAATTTGAATTTCTAATTGAGTTTAATAGTGCCATTAACGAGATGCAATTTTTAGCCTTAACAATATGAATTTTTTAAGGGTATTTAATTGGATTTTAATGTAAATGGAATGACAATAATTAATAAATATATAATTATTTAGGCAAAGCAAAGCGTGCGCTTGTCTCTACCATCTGTTTCAGCATTACTTTATTTTTTTTTTAGCAAAAAAGTGTAATATTTATGAGGCGTCAGCTTCTTTTCTCTCAGTGTACCTTCTGGCCGTGCGTGTACTTGTGTCCGTTGGTGAAGCAAGCCGCTGCCCGGCTGTGCGGCTCTAGGTCCTCCTCCGTGGGGCTTCCATCCGCACCGTCCGCGACGGAAGCCGCGCCAATCCCCTGAGCTCGTGGCGAGCCGGGCTCCAAGCCGTTATCCTGGCGCTGCAGCTCCGCGTCGCTGAGCATCTGCTGCGAGAGCAGGCGGGCGTCGTACTTGGCCTGGGACTGGGCGGTGTCCAGGTCGTAGTTGAAGTCGTCGTGCTCGTCTACATACTCAAAGGGCAGAGCTGCGTGGAGGCAAGAACAAATGCTAAATAAGCCCGTGCTGACTCGACTCTTCACATGCGCAAAAGTAAGCATGAGCTGGTTAGAACTCAAGGGTCGGACCTCGACACTGTCGACGGTAAATCGTAAGTAAATCTGTTGTGTTAGGAGAGGTAAAATAAAGTTGATGTTTTGCACCATACCAAGGTCCACCCTGGTGCAAACAAACAAAGGATCTGATCGGCAAGCTGTTGCCACATCACACATAACATATGAAATTTCCTCAAAATTTCGAGGGCCATAAACGGTCGCTGGCGTCACTGGCATTTTATTATGCATATTTGATAAATTATCATAAAAATAAGAAGCGAAATAAATCACAGGCCACATAAAAGCCAGCACACTCGCATACGTATGTTGTTTTATGGCAAACAGTTGTCATTAAATCAAAAGGCTGCACTCATTATGACATAAAAGCGAGCTGGGGAAGGCTGGCAACTGGCAAACGGAAAATGGAAAATGTGAAAACGTAAAACACTCATAAAAATTCAGAGCGATGCGCCCGGCGTAATTTATGTAATACAGATTTAATAAGGCTGTAAAATGAATTCGCCCTTCTTATTCCGGCAGAGCGATCAGCGGAATGGAGTTGCTTAAGCTCGTGATGGAGGGACTCCTCGGACTCCTTGCAAACCAGGACTCACCCTCGCTCCCGCAGAGTAATCCCAGAACGGTGGCCAGCAGCAGACAGGACCTCAAGGAGCTGCCGTTTGTCATGCTGTCGCTCCTAATAATCCCAGGCAGAGTCTCGCTTTCGGCGGATTTTATGGATGGCATTGCACTTTCCTGGCTGCACATTACTTGCACATTTCTTTGCTTTTCCGCTCTTGGCTCCTTTGGCTCTTGGCTCTTGGATTTTGTATTTTGGATTTTGGAACTTGGAACTTGCAACTTGGATCACTCACACAAATACACAAACACAACACGTCAGAGCCGCAGGGATTCGGTGGGACAACCTTCAACGCTTTTTCCGGCTGCTCCGATGTTTGCTTACGCTCCTTTTGCCCGGCTGTGTTTACGTTAGCACTTTATACTCGCACCGCTGTAGTACCGTGGCAGTTGCTGGTTTTATCTCACTCGAGTTGTTTGTTATTCTTAGAATGCACACTTGTACTTTTTCATGTCGCCACTTCTGGGTGAAAGGCTGCATTCACAATGCGCCTCTAAATGGGGCGCCTCCTCGAGCAGCCACGCCAATTTATGAAGGCTAAACAGGGGAGAGGACGTGGAACGTAAATGTAAATGGAAACTCAACTACTGCCATTAGACCCCCGCTTATATTGAATTTATTTCGCCAAGTTCCCTAATGGCACCGCCGTGATTCGTTTCCCCCGCGCAGCAACTCCTTTCCCTTACCAGGACTACGTGCCTGAGGAAGGCGAGAGGACCAGCCAACAAGTGTTTTCCCCCCAGAAAACGTGCCTTATGTAATCAGCGCAGGGAAGCTGCGGCAGCTGCGATTTCCACGATTGCTATGTACGTTCTGCGGCGGGCAATGCGAAATGAAATTGAATCCCATTAACTAATCATAAAGGAGCCTGCGTTAGGGCCCACTCCGAGTGTTGGCTGAATGGCCCGGGTAAATGCACTGTCAATTCACTTAATTTATGGCCAGAGGGGCCGCCAAGCCGGGCTTAGCTAGTCAAACAACAACAACAGCAGCAGCAGCACTCGAGCAGGTGGAGAGCAGGTGGGGAGAGCAGAGAGATACCAGGACGAAAGCTAAGAAAACAAAACACAAAGCACGAGCAGGGACGGGGACGGGGACGGGGAGGACTTCCGCAGGAGACGGAAATCCATGCCAGTCCCGGCCCGGCCGGGACACGTTTGAAGTGTGGGAAATTAGCGCCGTGCCAGCGGCAGGACCCACATTGATAGATGAAACAAAGCTGGCCTGGCCATAACTCCTAATAAAGCTGGGCAATATTTAATTTACTTTTAATTTGCGACAATTTCCGGGCAACTCGATTGGATTCCACCTGCACTTGCCACCACCACTCGTTTAATGGGGAATTCCATGAATTGTTCGCTGGCACTTTAATGTCCTTTAGTTTTGTCGCGCTGCTCACTTTACTTTTGTTTGCATTTAATTAATGCGGCCAGAAAGGCACTGAGAGCGTTTTGGAGAATGGAGAGAGACTCGGGGAGAGAGCGCGCGAGATGGAGTGTCTCTAATTACATTTTATGTTAATTGAATGCACTTGGCGCCCGAGAAACTATGTGCAACTCCGCTCGCTTCGGCCTCAGACATTGGCATCTGTCCGTCACACACGGCGGCTACGCGATAACTGAATCCTCGACGCCCACTGTTGCTGCGGATGCTGAGTCCTTTGTATTTATTGCCTACAACGCAATCTTGGCTCTCTCACGCGCTCTCTCTCTCGCATTCTCTCTCTCTGTTGCCGGAAAGCGCTTCTTCTCTCTTCGCCTTTATGAATGAGCTGTGCGCACTGAACACAGCACGCGGAGCGTAGAGAGCGTTCGTTAACAGAGCCCTGTTAGCCGGCTGTTGCAAGATGCCGGGCCGAGGATTCATGCAAATTGCATTAAAGTGAATCAGTTATGTGCCGTTATTCCGGCCTTTTTCCTGGAAATTGCATTTGCCTCGCCGCCACTTTGCCACTTTTGTGCCGCGTTGGCCTGACCGCATTTACTCGCCCGTTGGCATAATGCAAAACCATATCAGGTGTCGGTGCCCAAGCGGTGATTTTCGATTTCGATTCCCCTTTCACCGCACTCTATTGTGATGCACGGGAAACAGTGTATCCTTTCGAAAGTTTCACTATATTCTCTATTATCAGAATTATAAGCAAATACAGAGAGATTTTAATTAAGACAATTAAATCTAAACATATATTGACTTAAGTATTAGAGTAAAACTTGTGGTTATTTGTGGAAAGAAAAAAGCGTACAGATTTATACCCTTGCGAAGGTTATTGCGATTTTAGTCAGAATAATTAGGATGAAAATACTGATGTCCTTTTGTCCGTTTCTACGCAAATCTATACAAAAAGAGCTATCTGAATAAAAGTTTACATATGATATGATATGTACATACGTCTGTCATAAAAATATTTGGAAACTATGGATAAGATGTTTTCTAACTTATTTTAATCTACTCAATGATTTTGGCATTCATAACTTTTAGTGTTTTCTGACATACAGAATTTTCTCACAAGTCTTTAAAAAATATAAATAAAACTTCAAAACTTTCTCCAATATTTAGAATATCAAATTTTGATTCAATTATGATAACTGTTGCCGAATTTCATTGTTATGACTGCAAAGATAAAGAAACATTCGTCTGCCGAAGTTAACTTCTATTTATGTTTTCAAATATTACATAACAAAGCTGTAGCTTACCAAAGTTATAATGGATAACTAAACATTTTAGGTACTCTCCCTTTCTCTCTCTCTCTCTCTCTCTCTTGCAAAATCTGAAACAATAATCGCAATCAAATTAAGTATTACAATTAAGATAAGAAATTATTATCTTTTATCTTACCTATCTTTTACATTACCTATCATAAATCAATTCAATTGAATAGTGTTTAAGTTGCTTTTTTGGTGTTTTTTTTTTAATTATATAGTATATTGTTTCAATTCCCATTTCTCGATTATAATTAAGAAGTAATTGTTAGGGACAAAATCATTTCACAGAATGCTCCATTTAGTTTGCAATGCAAAATTACATTTTCCTAGGAGACCGAGCGTTAAAATACGCCTGCTATGAGCAAGATCTATTGATCCTCTTTTGAAGTAAAAACCTATTGACAATAGATATGGGTGAACTTTTCTTCATTTCTATGGGAAATCCTTGAGTCGGACCAGGGGCCGTCTGTTAAAGTTCAGTCTTAAGTACCGGGCACAAAGTGTAAATATGTAAATGACACAAACACTCGCACACACCCACACACACACAGGACACAGGCTGTCAGCAGGACTCTGAGGCCGTTGAGTGACATGCGATGTTTGCTGTTGCCGCTGCCATTGCTGCTACTGTGAAGCTTGTTAGACATTACAATGCGTGTTTGTGTCAGGATAACTGTCAACAGTTGCCGTTGAATTCGTTCGTTCCCCGCCACGCCACGCGGCTTTTCCTTTTTATTTTTCACATTTGCTAATTTCTTTTGTACATTTTCGAGATGCTTAACAACGTCATGCATTACCATAAAATAACAAAGGCTCGTCCTGGAGCAGTCTGCCTCAAGGCTCGCAGCACGCAGCTCGAAGCTCGAAGCTCGAAGCCTGGATCTCGAAGCCCGGAGCACGTGCAACAGTTGGCGTTGGACAGAATGCTCCACATAAATCATGGACAAGTCCCCACGGAGCGCAATCGATTCATTTCTGGCCATGTGAGCAGCGCCAATTGACCCATCCTGCTGGCCGACGAGTGTTTATATTTATGTGCATGCAAATTGGATCCCTCTGAGCGTGCAAATGTGCTGAAAATATTTATGTCGCCATGGCTAAATAATAATAATAAGCCCGGCTGACAGATGCCGCCGCTCCGATATGAATATAATGTTTGCCAAAGCAATTATCTTGTATCGCCGCAAATGTGCGAATTAAGCGAAATCCTAATAAGCGGAAAGCGAATATGAAAATATTTAACTACAAGGCAAATACTTAACTATTGATAGTTTTCATAGATTTATAGGCATTTAATTAAAAGCTGCGGCAGGCCAACGTAACCGAGATAAATAAATGGTCACGTGTCGACATGGGCTGTCGAATGAATGCATTAATTAATTAAAATAACACTTTCTGGCTAAACACTGCGCGAAAGAGGCTTTTATAAAATGTCAACGCTTGTCCCGAATAAATCTTGGCCAATTGTTTGGAAAATGTAATAAAACCGTCAACGGAACTTCCATTGTTTCGATTATGACTGCTCCGTGGGGCAGCAGCTCAGGCGAATCCCTTCACGGGGGCCTGGACGAAAACAAAACCTATCACAAAACTTACCCCATAAATATTAAAGCATATTGTTTCAAAATTTTCAGCGGGGGCAACCTTGGCGGGGCCATAAAAGTGATTCATTTAATTGGACATGTGCTCGTGCTAGGCGCGATCCCAAGGCAAGGCGGCCTAAGTTTATGCAAATTAAATTACAATTATAAATTCTAAGGACTGGCCCTGCGCCTGAGCCTGAGCCTGAGTTGGCCCTGGGCTAGTGGCCAGCTCCCTGACAGCCACCGCCGTCTCGGCCTAATCTCAGGGCAGCCCCGGGATGGAATTACACTTGCAAATGCCATATGCCAGATGTAAATATTTAAAATGCTAAGACACATCTGACACTCGAGTCTGCAGCTCTTTGACAGACGCTCTACTCGGTGGTATTGTTGAATAATCTGCCTTTCTGGCCCTCATCTGGCTGTTTATGTTGGGGTTTCACTCGAAACGAAGGCTAAAAGCACTTGGCGCAAGCAGCTGCAAAGGCCGCACGAACTGAGAGCCTTAATCCACGGCCTGATCCTGACATTATTTCAATCATAATTGAGAATTATTTTATATCAGACAGATGCGATACCCGATAACTCAAGCCTGACAGATGTGTTGTTATGTACATACATAGGTGAGTCGAGGAAAATGCATTTCATTATGTCAGCAGGACACCGCAGGATAAACACCGGAGGCTGGAGATTGATTTTGATGGCCATTAAATTAAATTGATAATGCAATCGAAGTGAATTGCATTTGCACACTTGCATTGCTTTTAAGCAATTAAACAGAAATGGCTCGGAGGCGAAGCGACATTTCTCTGAATTAAATTCGCTTTCCTCGGCGAGAACTGTCGCCGAGCACTTGGCACGATAAAAGCGCAAAAATTGGGTGTCGAAAATGTTTAAAAGTTTTTCCTTGTACCAAACAGAAGTTGGAAAAGTGAAGCCCTCCCCCCACCCTCACAGACACACTCTCAGACAGACAGACAGACAGACGGACGGACGGAAGTGTGTCTATATAGGTACACGCATAGTTCGCGCAACTAACAACAATATGGAAATCAGTTAACAGAGAAAAACCGGCCATGGAATGAACTCGAGACTTTGCCAACTTTGGCATTCTCACAACACTATTTTTATTTTTGCTCTCCGAGGAGGAGGAAGCAGCCCTGTGGCTTGGGGCCACTTCCTGTTTTCATAGCTACTCGCATTATCAGCGCCTTTTGTCTCTTGGCCAAAAACTTTGCCCATCGTCTGCCGGAGGCCTGATTAAAGCGACACTTTAATGCAAAATACTTTTACGTTTTCTGATTACGAGCCCAGAAAAACGAAATGCAATTGCGAGCAATCTCTTTCTCGCCCTGCACCTGTAATTATGGCGCGGCGAATGGAAGTGCGGCGAACGCCCATTGAAGTGTGGCGCAAAAGTATGAGGGATTGCTAAAAGCAATTTGAAAACAACAGAGTGAAAACGCTTCCAGCTTCCCGAACCCCTCCGCGGGCCTCGCGACCGAAAGAATTGCAGAAGATGGCGTTGCCATGGCAATTATGAAGCTGCAAGGGGTTGCAGCGCCTCGAGTGGATGAGTGGGCCACCAAGACATCGCCCTGCATCTCAAGGCTACACTCAGGGATTGTCATCCAGGGAGTTGCCACAGAATTACACTCTTCCTTAAAAAGAAATTTTTCATATACCATAAATAGACTCAAAAGAATTACCTAATACTAACTCCAAATAATACCTTATAAATAATTAAATAACCTATCAAAGATTTGGAACATTAATAGGTCGACTCCTTTACTATTTCAAACGCTGGCAATAATGCAGTAGTAACAACCGACTTGATCTAGATCAACTGGTCCATCGTAATATCGAGATTCGGTAACTATTTTTGATATATAACAGCTTGTAATAATTATCCGTTTTATCAACAGCAAAATCATAATTGAATAAATATTTTTATTAAGTTACAAGCAGGATAAGGAAGAATGGGCTCCGTTTCACTTAAAGATGTCCGATAAAACGATATATGTATATCGATAAAACTGATCTTTCCTACTTCCGTCTTGCTTTAGTTGCGATAAGAGTTACCGTTCTTCATAGACCGCTTACTTTTTATTTAGATAGTTATTTTGCGCTTTTTCTCTAAAGCTGTCTATTCAACGCGTTATTAATTGGGGCTTGTCATATATTCCGATATTCTTCAGCCGACTCACAAGAGAAACAGGAAACTAGTTTTGGCATGACAGACAGTTAGTCTGGTAAGTCGGGTTGAACTAAATTTTCGAGCTCTATTTATAGGTGACTTTTTCCGGATTTGTTATAATCTTTCATAGGT